CCTCCTGCCCGGCCCCTGAGCTCCTGGCCCGGGAGGTTAGCCCCTGGCCCCTTCCCTGCTGTTCCCCCTCCCCTGCAGCCTCAGCTCACTGCACCGTTGGCGCAATGCTCTGGGCAGCGGGGCTGCGAGCTCTTGCTGGGCAGTGCAGCTGCGGAGCCATGGCCTGACCCATGCTCTGTGCTGCGCGGTGGCATGGCTGGCTCCAGCTGGGCGGCACGGCTGCCTGTCCTGGTGCTCTGGACTGTGCAGCTGTAGCACCGCCAGCCACCAGTGCTCTAGGCAGCGTGGTAAGAGGGCAAGGAGCATGGGGGGTTGGATAGAGGGCAGAGAAGTTCGGGGTGGTGGTCAGGGGGCGGGGGTGTGGATAGGAGTTGGGGCAGTCAGAGGGCAGGGATCAGGGGGATTGAATGGGGGCAGGAGTCCTGGGGGGGGTGGATGGGGCGGCAGGGGGCAGTCAGGGGCAAGGTTTCTGGGGGCGGTCAGGGAGAACGGTGGTTGGATGGGGCAGAGGTCCTGGGGGGGCAGTCAGGAATGAGAGAAGGGGTTGGATGGGATGGCAGGGGGCAGTCAGGGGCAGAGGGTCCGGGGCGGTCAGGGGACAGGGAGGGGTGGATGGGGTAGGAGTCCCAGGGGGGGGCCAGGCCATGTCTGGCTGTTTGGGGAGGCACAGCCTCCCCTAACCAGCCCTCCATACAATTTCGGAAACCCGGTGTGGCCCTCAGGCCAAAAAGTTTGCCCGCCCCTGGTCTAGAGGGTGAAATTGTTAACCTGAGTCTTGATGGGTGGAGCAATGTCCACAATGATCCTGTTGTATGTGCTTGTGTGACGACAACAAGAAGGGAATGTCTTCCTTACAGAAACAATTGATACATCAGGAAATGAACATACAGCAGAATACTTACAAGAAGTAGCAGTAAAAGCTGTAACAAACTGTCAAAAAAAAAAAATTCAAATGTCTAGGACACAGCTTGGTCACAGACAATGCTGCAAATGTATCCAAGATGAGAAGAAATTATTTAGAAGAGAGTCCCAAGCTAATAACATACGGTTGCAGTGCTCATTTGATGCACCTCCTATCCAAAGACTTCAGTGTTCCAGAAATAAAGGCTAATGCTGTTGAAATTGCAAAATACTTCCGTAACAACCACTTTGCAGCAGCTGCTCTGAAAAAAAAGTGGGAGGAACCAAGCTAACTCTCCCACAAAATGTGCGATGGATCTCAGTAGTGGATTGTTTTGAGCACTGTATCAAAAACTAGCCTAATCTGATGACAGTTTGTGAATAAAATCGTGAAAAAAAAAATAGATGGCACTGTCACAGCTAAAGTTCTCAACATTGGGCTTAAGAGAAATGTTGAACACATGCTAAGTACCCTGAAGCCTATTTCTGTAGCCTTGAACAAAATGCAGGGAAATAGCTGTTTTATTGCTGACGCTGTTGAAAATTGGAAGGAACTGAGTGAGACCTTAAAAAAGGAAATATGCAATGTCAGGGTTAAATTACAAGCATTAACAAAAAACCGAATGGGACAAGCACTATCTCCAGCTCATTTTCTTGCAATTATTCTCAATACTCGGTACCAGGGTCAATCCTTAACTGCTGAAGAAGCGGAGCTGGCTATGACATGGACATCCAGGAATCATCCCTCCATAATGCCAACTATAATAAGTTTCAGAGCTAAGAGTGAACCATTCAAGTAATATATGTTTGCTGATGTTTTAAAGAAAGTTACACCAGTGAACTGGTGGAAGTCACTTAAGCACTTGGATTCAGATACTGTTGAAGTGATAATCTCACTTTTAACAGCAGTAACTTCTTCTGCCAGTGTAGCAAGAATATTTTCTTCCTTTGGACTAATTCATTCCAAACTGAGAAATCGTTTGGGACCTGAAAAAGCAGAAAAGCTTGTTTTTCTTTTCCAGAATATGAACAAACAGGAAAATGAAGGTGAAGACAACTGAGTTAGCTGCAGAAGCCAATATTTTAAGTTTCTCACGTTGACCTGGCTGACATAGTTGATTTAATTTTTGTTAAAAAAAAAAAAAATCATTTAACTATTTTAGATAAAACAATTTTAACAAAAACAAACCTGATTTTAAAAAAAACTTTAATGTTTAACTAAATTCAAAAATTCATAAGTTTTGTTAAAATATTATGTTTGCTGTTGAGGAAAAAAATCCAGAATACACAACGTTGTTGTTTTAGTTAAATAAAACAATTTAAATGTCTGTCTGGTGATGTTTTCCTTCTAATACAGCATGGCAAGAAAATCCTCCAAATATTAATCACTAACCTGTTGAACTGGAGATATTTATGAAGTCATTGGGCGGTAAACTATCTACTTAAAATTACCTTTGGTAAATGAAATAACCAAATAATCATTCATTTTCTGATATAGCTGTAAAACTAATCTGAAAAGTTTTCAAAATAAATAACTTTAAAAATGTATAGTGTACACCTTCTAAAAATGAAACCTACATCTATCTCTGAGTTGTGAAGAGTATGTATTAAGGTTATAACAACCAACAAGAATTCACTTTTATGTAGAAATCCATGATTAAATTGAGTCTTCCCCACTAGTGATTTAAATCAAATCCACCCTGCTCAGGTATGAGTGAAAGCTGCTGACTGTGCAGCCGGTTACTGAGAATGTAAATTATATGAGCAATTATGTAATTAGAAAAAGGATGTGGGAATAGTTAAAGTTACTATATGGTAATTTATTGCATAATGCTCAACTCTTCTGTGTCCATGGACTGAAAAAACTCTGCAAAACTGAGCCTCCTGGAGTCATGTTTTTGGCGGATGCCTTTTTTTCTTTTCTTTTCTTTATTTTTTAAGGCGGGGGGAGGTGGGCAGAGGCACAGGAGGTTAGAACTTTATCCAGTATTTAAATCTTATTCTCCACCTCTAAAATATGTACATATTTCCCCCCCCTTTTCTTATTAAAATCTTTTGATTATAAGTCAAGGCTATACCAAAGAAAAATTATTCAGAAATGCAATAATCAAATAGCTGGATGTATGTTACTGGTAACCAAGTTACAGGTGATTTTATTTTAAAGTGTATTTTAGATAAAAAGGGGGAAATTAATCAGATTAATATTTTTAAAGAAGGGACAATATTTGAGTAAGGGAGTTTGGGGCTCCTATGTCAGGAACAGCTGGGAGCCAGACTCCATCCCCATTACAGCCTCCTTTCATCTCATGTGAGGGGAGGGTGGTGGGATGGCTGAGACATGGTTAGAGATTATGTGGAAATGATTAAGGAACAATGATGACCTGCCCTGTACAATTTGTTGCTGGGTACTCCCAGATACTTTAAGTGAATAAAATTGCAGAAATAACCTGATCAACCCTTCCCACCACCACATCAAATATTTTCACACAGTCTCATGATTAGCATTTATGCAAGTGTTGGATATGAACATATCACTCTTGACACTTCGGGAAGACTTTCTATTTTAAAAACAATAACTCACCCATGAAGGGCGATAATTATCTTTATCTCCATTTGTAAGAAAGACCCTAATAACTCACTTGGTCTTATTGCACCAGATGAATTATAGCTCTATCACACACATGAATGAAAGGCAATCATCATTCTTTACTCTCAAGATATCTTGCGAATCTATAACTCCAGAGATTCACACACTTCACTGAGACAAGCACCACGCTAGGGTCACCTTGAAAACCAGCAACCATTCCAAGTAGAATTTATCTAACTCTCCCCCTCCCTTCTACTCCAATGGTTTTCAACCTTTTTTCATTTGTGGACCCCTAAAAAAATTGTAAATGGAGGCGCAGACCCCTTTGGAAATCTTAAACACTGTCTGCAGACCCCCCAAGGGTCCATGGATCACAGGTTGAAAACCACTGCTCTACTCCAACCCATTAGAAATTTCCAATGTTGCACATACTGGTGAGGAAACAGTACAGATAATTCTTCAACCAACAATCCTTATTTTATGTAAAATTTTATCTAATAATAAGAGCTTATATGTGTAGTATCTGTTCATTCTAGTTACACACACCTTCATCGGAATAAAAAGCAGTGACTTTTGTGAGTGGTCACACTGACATGAAAGGTAATTTACCTCCTACAGGATGAACGGTTGGAAAGGTTCAACATCAACTACAGTTTTGAAAAGTTGATATGGGGGAGGCATGGGGTATCCCCAGAGAGGATCCTAGCTCTTCTGAATAAGCAGTTTTAACGTATCTATTCAGGATACATAACAACTTAACCTCTAGTCCAGTTATTTTACCTCAGTGAAAGCTGGCCAAGCATTTGCCATTTCTGCTTTCATGAAAGTTTGGGTACTAAAGCTTATGAGTTAGCAAAATCTATTGTTAATTAAGGTTTGTTCCAGTCCTAACTCCTTCTCTAGTCCAGTCTTTCCTTCCTAAGTCCCCTGCCAACTGCAGGCTCCCCTGGGCACCTTCTCCTAGCTTCAGGCTTTCCTTTACCACAATGCAGTAAAAATGTACCCTACCTAGCCACAGGTATGAGAGCCTTTGAGACTTGTTGCAGAGCGATCAGTTACAATTGGTATCTCAGTTCTGTTTAGTGAAGTAGCGAAGCACGTCATTTTAATTGTATTGCTGCTATACACAACAAGGGTGTAGCAGAGAAATAGCAGAGACTGATCAGTTAGCATTTGCAATGCCTAACCCTTTATGCTTTCAATATAAAGTTCATAATTGTTAAATTTCACATATTTGGGGCTAAAACTGTCAGTGAACATGCTAGTACTTGTTGCACATTCACTTTGGCCAGGCAGTTGTATAGTATGTACAGAATGGTCATATTTCTATGTTTCTTACAATATGTGAGACACCAACCACTTTACACGCTTGAGAACAGAATACTCTAGTATGCAGGAAGATTTATCTGATAAGGAAACAAGGTAACAATTCCCATACTTTTCCTCTGATCACAATCAATTAAAACCCACAATCTTTTAACAATTTATGATCTTACCCATTTTTCATACATACCATATATTGTTGAAGAGCTAAGAATGGTAAGGTAGTTAGATTCACATTTTTGGGATTCAATATCTAAGTCTCCAATTTTTAAGATCAGTCGTTTTCCCTGAGGTATTTGAATTTTCTTTTCACAAACTGTATAGTTGGGGTAAGTCCCAGGATAGTTCTTGGATGACAGAGTGCCACTGTCTTGATATACCACCATGTGTCCACATCCATCCCCTGTTTGCAGTGGAAGGGGTGAGAGAGAAAAGAAGAAAAAACAACATGTATAAGGCTTCAATAGTCACTCACCAGTTTCAAAAATAAAGCATTTTATTTTGTATTACTCCTCCTCAGCTTAGTCACCATTATACAGAAGTCCTTGTAAATTTAAAATTGATGGAGTCACAGCATCTTTCTTTTAAAACAAGAAGGGGGCATGGGGGAGAATGTGGTTGCTGTGTATCAAGATACCAAGATCTGTAGAAACTACTGTTTCAAGTTTGAAGGAATCACATACAGATGAATTTATTCTGATTTTCTGTTTTAGGGCCAAATCCTGCTGAGAATGCGAGCACATAATGTAGCATCTGGCTATCATGTTTTCGCCATCAATATTTTTCTCCCAGTTACCACTGCATGTTTCAGAGAAATACAATACACAGTATTGCTGAGGGAGAAGGAAGTTGGACTGTATGTGAAAGCACAGAGAATTTAACCCCACACTACCCCATCACTATTATAGTCAAGTTTATTCTCTTCTCTTCTCTTATCCAATGTGCACACAGAAAACACACACCGTGAGTGGGCAATGGAGCAAAGGCACTACAGGATGGTTTAGAGCCACTGGTGGTGCCCAACTGTCAGTTACAGCATTAGGTAGGACAACTGGAAAGTTCAAATGAAAATTCAAGCCACCTCTGTTAGAATGGGCGGGACAGAGATTGAATAGAGAAAGCATTCGTTGAAAGAAAGGAAGCATCGGAATAGAAAAGAGACTCAGATTACTAAGGAAGCAATACACTGTGTGAATAAGAGTAAGTGTACCAGTAGTTTGAAGTTTATATTTTTAAAAGCCTTAAGCAAACACATGCCTCTGGGTTTCACAGTGAAATCAGTGGAACTTCTTGGGTAAGTAAAGTTACTCACATGCCTAAGTGCTTGCAGGGTCAGGTCCTCAGATTTTAAGCTCTTGGGGGCATAGACAGTCTTTATCTTTGTATCTAGTACAGTATTTTTCACATTATCAGTGCTAAAATAATGACTACTACTATCACTGTTAAACAAACAATAATTATTCAGAATGGCTGGGGATTCTCACACTGTAATTATCCAGAAGTTTGCATTGGGTTACTTTGGTCAAACAGTCATGCTCCTTTGTTTTAAACTACTAGAGAAAAATACTTTTTATTTTATTTTATTTTTATTAATGGAGATATCCCATCTCCTAGAACTGGAAGGGACCTTAAAAGGTCATCGAGTCCAGCCCCCTGCCTTCACTAGCAGGACCAAGTACTGATTTTGCCCCAGATCCCCAAGTGGCCCCCTCAAGGATTGAACTCACAACCCTGGGTTTAGCAGGCCAATGCTCAAACCACTGAGCTATCCCTCCCCCCTTAACTTAACTCAACTCATTTGGGTGAAATGGCAAATAAAAATGAAGCGCTGGTGAAGATGTGATACGTTGGCAACAAAAAAGGTGATATAATTTGCAAAGACAAGCTCCAACCTGTCAAACTTTTACACAATACTGTATAATTACAGTGTCATCATTCAATGCATCACACACAAACTTTTCACAGAAAGCAGCACTTATTTTAAAGCTTTATTAACATTACTAGCTTGTGTTGTTTGGAAAAAGATGAACAGAAAATGAAAATTCAGACTCCTACCACTATAAAACCAAATTCCATTAAAATGCAATTCTAATCCCTACTGTTCACACTATTGGAAAAAACACACACTAAAGAGTTCCTTTGTTATCGTGGCTCTATTTACTTTTGATGTTACAGGCAAATGGTAAGGATAAACAACAATTGAGGTTTTTGAACAGGTTGTTGCCGTTAGTGGTGCTACCCCTGCCTAGCAATAATAAATATAGCTATCACTCGGTAGCAACATCTATTGGTAAGCACAGCCTTGTCTACAAGCTGAAGTTGCACGGATGTAGAATTTATTAGTACAATCAGAAAAGCTATTTTGGAAGAGAACACTCACACTATGTGTCATTTATAACAGTCATACTACAATGCTTGTGTCCACACAGCAGCACGGTGTTACGGATAAAGGTGCGATGCACTGTGGGTAGATATCCCAGTGTCCTCCATTACAGTTACCAAGATATAGTTAAATATTGACTTGAACCTGGCTTCATGCACATAAATCCATTGGCAGAATCAGAGGATTGGTATGCAACTAGTCCTCAGTGAGGTGTATTGCCATTATCAGATTTGAAATAATTTGGTTTTAATTAGATTTGACCATTTAAATTCATTTCATATGTGTGCAAAAATCATCACTTAATGTTAAAGCCATGTACTTTTATAGATCATGTGCTTAAGGTTATCTTAGTGTTCAATACACATGCCAGTGCACCTAAAGAATGTCAATATACCCCAGAGCCAGGAATTGACAAAATTCCATTGGTTTAGTTCGTGGAGATTTTAAGTTCTGACTGCTGAAAAGCTCTGGGATTCTGTTTCCCTTTTCTTTGTTTCTTTAAAAATAAAAAATAAAACAAAACAAAAATTGAGCAAATTAAATGCAAAAAGTTGAACAAATACAACTTAATGTTGTGGAGCACAAATCACTAAAACTCAAGAAACATAAAAGGTCCCAATAACATCAAATTGCTGTTGGCTCTACTGGGTTACATGCTGACCTGTGTTATACTGCAGTAAATCAGAGGGCCTCTGTGGTGAAAAATGCATCAGGCGACCTGAGGGGAAGGAAAACCTACCACAGCGATGCAAGGTATTGGCAACTCCACTTTACCTTTGGATCTAGAACCAACAGAACTCAGAAAGCAAGGGCCAGGGGACAATGGGGCTTCACCAATTCATTAAATCTCCTAGACAGTTTCTCTTGGCAGGACTTGTCATGGTTACTGGACTAGCTGCACCTCTGACCTCTTTCTTGTGTATCTGAATCCACCCTTTCAGGTCTCTGGCTTCGTGTCTGGACCTATCCTGGGTGAAATTCCACAATTCTCTGACTGGGCTCTGGGCTACAGTTCCTGTTGTATCAACTGTGCTTATCCGCAAGTCTAACTGAGTTCAGCCCCCATGGTCCTTTCCTTTGGGAGTCTGGGACAAATGGTTTAGATCATGCTCAGACAGCTATCTTAAACTATTGTTTATTTTCACAGTAGGAACAAACATTTAGAGAAAAAGGATTTTAAAAACAAGAGTCTACCCATGTCTATCTTACCTATATGGTTATCATACCTTGACGGTAAACTAAGCAGGCCTAATGTCTTCGGAGATGCTCATTGTTGGACAGTGAATGGGATGGCCTGTGCTCTGGGGTGGCACCAAGCAGTCTCTCTGTCAGGTGCTTGGCTGGCGGGCTCTTGTTCATGTTTTCAGGGTCTAACTGGTCACCGTATGTGGAGTTGGGAAACAATTTTCTCCCAGGTCCGGCTGGCAGCAACCTTGTTTTTCCCCCCACCTTCCTCTGTGGCGTGTGGGTGCAGGTCACTTGCCAAGATTAACTGGGTGTCTCTCACTTAAATCATTTCTGTGCCATTGCAGAAGCCTCTGCCAGTGGTGCACCTTGGTCCCGCCTATTCTCTGCCTGTAGCACATTAGTCTAGTCTCTCGTGGGCTGCAATACTTGGATTCAGTTGTGGTGGTGGTGGTGAAAACAACCTTGAAAATGTGACAAAGAGCACTGGAATACTCAGAAACCAGAAGACAGAGAACCTAAAACTAGAGCTGGTCAAAAATTGGGGGTTTCTGCACAAAGTTTACACAAAAACAACGAAATGTTGTACTTGTATAAGTTGTAAAATTTTGATCTTCAGTGGAAATATTTCAGCAAAACACCAAAATCTGCTTTGGAAATGCTGCTTCTTTGCCTCATGGGAGTTGTAGTTTGGTGTCTCTTGCTCACAATCTCCTCTGTAAGCCAGGCTCCCTGCTTGGACTGCATCTCCTATAGTGTTCATGGTCTCCCCTCTTGGAGAGGGGAGGCAACTCATCATGGGAGACCCTGGCCCTACGGCGTTATGGGAGATATCCATCTGGGAAGCCCATTGGAGGAGAATGGGGATATGATGCAAGCAAACTACAACTCCCATGAAGTTCCACAGCAGCAAAATATTTAAGCTTTCGGGCATTGGGTTTTTTTAAATGAAAATTTGACATTTTCTGTGGAAAGTAGATACAGTCTGAAAAAAATGTTTTTCAAAGGGAAATTGTTTTTTCAAGAAGTTTTGATGAAAATTTTTTGAGTAGCCCCACACAAACCATTTTATTTAAATCTCATGATTGTCATTGCTAACCATCATGCAAAATGAGCCATTACTTTGACAGAACCTTGCATTCCCATGCTGTCAACTATTACAACCTGGCCCAGTACTATTCTATGGTCACCAGTCTGTTGTGAGATGACTCAGTCATTGGCTCCCATATACTTCCAAGCTATCTGGGTCTGGGGAGAGTCCAGACACTGGTTCTAACTCTTCATCTGAGCCCTTCTTTGAGATATGGGGTGCCACAACCATCTGCCCTTGACTCTAAAATCAGCATCCTAGACCACCTGAGCCTCCCAGTCACTTACTTGCTCCTCTGGAGCTCTACCTAGGCTGAGGACACTCTGGCCTTCTAGTTTAACCCCTTTACGGAAAACAAGGCAGGAAATCAAGGTGCACAGGCTTAGTGAAGCAATTTCTTTACCACAGAAACTTCATTAGTAAAACCATCTGTTACAAGTCTTTGAAAATAACAAGAGTCCTGAGTCACAGTCTGAGCTCACTCCTTTCTGCGAGTTCAAGGTTTGTCAGTGTTTCAGGCTGGGAAGAGTCCTTTTCTGTCTCTCTGGGGGCAGTGGGGAAGACCCACAAAACCCGGAAAAAATAAGCGGAAGGCAGGGTTCGTGTCAAAAAACACCATTACGGGTCTCAAAAAAAAAAAAAAGGGGGGAGTGCCCACGAGAGAATTGGAAAAACCTGTGGGCCACAACTGCCTAAAAACACCAGCCCGACTGCCCCTAAACGAGCCAAAAATTGCTTGTTTTGA